TCCTTACAAATTCAGAAATATTTTAATGTCGACTTGGATCGTAAAAAAATCAATTTCATTCAAAACAAATCATTCATATATCACAACCTGAAATCATCAACTTTATTTCGAAGCAAGGTGTCTATAAACTGTACAGTTGGGTTTCTGAAACAATTTCTCACCCTTATAAAACCGAGAATTACGTCTAATGCTTGGTTTCTATAAGGCAGAAAACGAGCATATGAGGCCTAATGCTTGGTTTCTATAAGGCAGAAAACGAGCATATGAGGCCTAATGATTGGTTTCTGTCTTATAGAAACTAAAGCAAAAATGTGCAATATCTTAGGAATTGAATCAGCTGGGCACATATACATCTTTAAACGCTTCTGAGTACCCCTCCGGTTCAAATATTTGTGTTAAATAATTAATATTTCCTATTAATTCTTTCTTTTACTGTTCTCTTCCTTCCTTTCAATTTTTAGTTCTCTTCTTTTTTGTCTTAAATAGTGTAATTGGGCTAGCTAAGTTATAACTTGAGTCTAACAGCTGTTTTCCTATTTCAGGTAATTTTACAAATGAAAAGATCAAGCAGACCACTTTTTGAAAACTCTTAAAATGTTCATCCTTATACCGCGACCGGTTTAACATCAAATTCAACATCCATCTAACACATTTTTGTTGGATTCAATTCAACAAAAAACTTCACAACCTTCTAGTCAGATAAGGTTAAGAAGTGTTTGTAATGTGTAAAAAAATGTGAAGGTATATCTATTTATTTATTGATTTTTTTATTACCTGCCTAGTGGCAGGGGGAGAGGTGATAGAATGGTAGCAATTGGGGGAGGGGAAGGTAGCGAATATTTCTGTAGCTTTCTACCACAGTCCTGAAAATAAATTCGTGAAACAAATACGATGCAAAGAAACATTTAATGGTTTTTAAAAGGATCAATACATATTAATGAATTTAAATAAATACTACAGTGAGAACCAGAAAACTGTGGAATAGGTAGACGACACGACATTAAAGAATTAATTTAGTGTATTTGATGTTGTTACAAAGCAAATAGTATTACTTGCAACTTTTTGAGTCACTTATTACGTAAAAGGGTCTGTTTGGACTGCACATTGCTGTTTATGATCCTTGAAGTATTTTAAGCCATAATTCTTGAGTGTTAAAGTCGTCTCCCTATTCCAGAGTTTTCTGGTTCTCATTGTATTAGTTCTGTGTAATTTATCTTAACTGTTTGCAGAAAAAATTTCTGGGCGTAATCTTTTGTGACTAACCTAATACAGCTCACTTCGTGTTTTAACAATTGCTGGAATAAAATCTAAATTTATATTTCCTCTTATTCTAGATATTGTTTAGATTAATTATAGTGCTGTTATATATCAAGTTATTAAAATGGATGGTAGATCAAGTCCAAGTCATAGTGTAAGTTTAACCTAACCATTCAATTATTTCTAGCTAAAAACTTTCAGGACAATCAGCTGAACAATATCCAGGGGCCGTGCTCGTAATTTCGATTAACTTTCCATTTATAGAGTGGCATATTCGATTCACAATGAAACCCTTAAAATCTTTGTCTGATCAAGGTTAAAACGACGACGATATATTTCACACTATTGGTCAAATAAGGTTTAAAGGGAACCGTTGTTAATCTGATATTATCTCTTTTACAGAAGGATCTCTTGAAATTATAACGGCAGTCCCATTAAATGCAGAAAAAGAAAAAGATATATGAGCAAAATTCTCCAAACCTCTTTCCGGCTGAGAGAAAACAGGAAGAACAAACTGAACTGGGGTCAGATTTTATAATTAGAGAGAAGAGTTGAACTAAGTAGACTAAGTTGAACTCCTTCTTTAGTGTAACGGTTCAGGTTGAAGAGAAGTGGTTCAAATTACCCTACGTAGTTCAACTACTTCTAGCTATTCATTAAAGCTGGTGTCAGCTGTATTTCATTCTATACAGGAGGATGAGCTAGAGTTTCATATCACGTTCCCTGCTCCTAACCTGGAGACAAACCTAACCTTCTCATCAAACCTAGACACAGAGGAACAATTTATATAAATTAGTAAACATAAACAGAACCTGTTTTTATATTAGTAAACATATACAGAACCTGTTTTTATATTAGTAAACATATTCAGAACCTGTTTATATATAAGTAAATATATACAGAACCTGTTTATATATTAATAAATATATACAGAACCTGTTTTTATATTAGTAAACATATACAGAACCTGTTTTTATATATTAGTAAATATATACAGCTAGAACCTGTTTAGTGTTTATATATAAGTAAATATATACAGAACCTGTTTATAAATTAGTAAATATATACAAAATCTGTTTATAAATTAGTAAATATTAGGAGGTAACGGAGCCTGTGGTTTATATTCTTGGATGGGAAGGTTAGAAATTAAATAAAAATAAGTCATTAATTATATGACAGGCAGTTTTAAAGACATATCAGAGACACATAGAAAGGACATATCAGCCATATCATAGATAATACATTAGAGCATTCATTAACAGAGATGAGTTATTATTAAGGAGCAAAATTTATTTCTTTTTTTCTGTACATTAAATTTTATCCCCCCCCTCCCTCCCTTTAAACTGAAAGTGTTAGGGAAGGAGAGAAATGGTCAACTATTAATTGGATTTAAGAGAAGGACAACAATACCGCAATAGTTTTCTATGTTTCGTCAGCTTCGAGTGGGAAAAATGAGATTTCATAGGTGGGGCACCGCCTTCTTGTCCCCCCCCTTGGTATTTAACGATTGCTATTATAAGGATGTGAGGATGATGAGTTGGAATGGTTGAGCAGTATCTATGAATCCCGAGGATTTATTACTGTACGCTACACTGCTCAAAACATGGATCTACAAATATTAAGGAATATCTTGCAAACCTAATTTTGAAAAAGGGATATTCTAGTTTTTTATAATAATTTTAATAAAAACGTCATGTAATCACAATATAATTAATTAGGAGTTTAATTTTGAACCTAATGAGTATGGAAACCACTTTTTGGAGTTTCCGTATTATTGTTTGCTATAAACCCTTTTTCCGGGTGTACAAAAACACTGCATTAGCAAAAACTTCTCAAAGTTTGCATAGATATTGTTTGCAAATCCTTCTCAAAATTTTGCATAAATAATGTTTGCAACCCCTTCTGAGTTTGCATAAATGTTATTTGCAACCCCCTTTCATTTTCAAAGCTTGCATGAACATAGATTCTAAGCCTTTCTTAGAATTCTCAGAATCAATGTTTGCCACCCTTCTCAAAATGTTGCAAATTGAAACCCCTTCTGGGTTTGCATACATGTTATTTGCAACCCCCATCTTAAATGAATATTGTTTGCAACCCCTTTTGAGTTTGCAAACCCTTCTTAGAACTTATATATATTATTTGCAACCTCTTCTGAGTTTGCATAAACATTGTTTGCAAAAAGATCAGTGAGCACTGAACCAATTGCAGTTAGATTGGCAGGGTTAGTTTCAGAGCTTTGTTTAACAGGTATTCTACTAACTAACTTTCTATAGATTTTAAACTAACTTATCCTACTTTTCTCTAACTTATCTAACTTATTTTAGTTTTGCATACTTTTCATCAAACTTATCTATTTTTCATCAAATTTCATCTAAATTATCTAACTTATGCATAATTTTCATCTCTGAGTACCTTTTCTTTAACTTTAATCTAACTTTTATCAAATTTGTCTCATTTTTCTCTGACTTTCTTTAAATTTATCTACCTGTTCTCTAACTTGTCTACCGTTTCTCAAACTTGTCTACCCTTTCCCTAACTTTTCTAATTNAATCAGTAAATAAAAAACAATTTAGAGATAAATTAAATTAAGGATCAGATACAACAGCTACCACCCCCACCTTCAAACATATTTACATCACATCTACATCATTCCTCCCATCTCTTTTATTCCTCCCAACAAACCAATCTAATCTTTTTGCCTTACCAGCAAATAATAAATTTTGAAATACATAAACAATAATACTTTTTACACTTTTAACTAACTTTAATTTAACTTATGTACCTTTTTTAACACATTAATTTAGCGTATGAAGTTATGAACCTTTTAACACTTTAATTTAACTTTGTACCTTTTTTACAATTTTATCTAACTTTAATTTAGCTTATGTACCTTTTATACACTTTTATCTTACATGAATTAAGCATATGTACTCTTTTTTACACTTTACTTTACTCTTGTTAATCTTTATACAGTAACTTTTATCGAACTTGTATATAACTTTAATTTACCTTTCAGCTTAAAATAACTTTGATCTTTCTCATATCTTACTTTTATGTTGTTTCACTTTTTATTGTCTCTATACACACTTTTATCTAACATTATCTAATCTTTAATATTTGTCTCATTTATTATAAAAAAAAATATATTTTATATCACATATCACTGTTATTTAAAGGTTTCAAGCTTTCAAGGAAAAATAAATGAGAATTATGCCAATTACTTTTTAAAAACTAAAGTTAACCACAAGTGCTTTGTAGTGCTAAAAATATGTACAGGGCTACAAAAGCTTAGGTGAGTTAGAGTGGTAAAATCAAAGCCCAAGGCGTTGCGACACTTCAAAGTAGACCCTGTCTTAAAAATTAAGGATACTTTTATAAGCAGGGTTAATCTATGTGATATTTTATAGATTTTTATCAATCACTATGTACATTTCAGAAAGTCCAGTATTTATCCACGCTTGTGGAGAGACGGGTGCAAGCCTTTACCAATTCCTGGCAAAGGAATTAAAGACCAGCGGCAGTGGAAGCGCAGTGAGGGGAATCGTCTTCGATAATACGAATATCTGGTCTTTTACCCTTTGTGAAAGCTCTTTTTCAAACAGTTGATTTCAACAGGTCAGAAAACTTAAATCAAAAACTATAATTAGAAAAAAACTCTGAACTCTTTTTTTAGATTATATCTTCTGATTTTCTCCTTATTGGAGTTCAGTGTATCCATCCTTACTGCTCTAATAGGTCCCTGGATACTAGTCTATACTAGACATTGGTTCCATCCTTCTCCCTGGCAGGTTGGTATAGTACCTGGATACTAGTCTATACTAGACATTGTTTCCATCCTTTTCCCTGGCAGGTTAGTATAGTTCCTGAATACTAGTCTATTCTAGATCCTGGTTTCATCCTTCTCCCTGGCAGGTTGGTAAAGTATCTGGATACTAGTCTATACTAGACCCTGGTTCCAGTCTTCTCCCTGGCAGGTTAGTATATTTCTTGGGTACTAGTCTATACTAAATCCTGGTTCCATTCTTCTCCCTGGCGGCAGGTTAGTATAGTACCTGGATACTAGTCTATACTAGACCCTGGTTCCAGTCTTCTCCCTGGCAGGTTAGTATATTACTTGGATACTAGTCTATACTAAATCCTGGTTGCGAAATTCTTCAATTTTTCAAAGCCTTTGAGTTTAAAATAAAATTTCTCACCTAAATTAGAGTCTGATTTAAAAAGTGAGAAACAATGTATCTAGATTAACCAAATAGGTTGTCAAGTACTTGACAACCTATTTGAGATTAACTATAGTTAAACTAATTCTCTATAGAGTGCACAAGGAGTTAGAGTTCAACTTGCTATATATCCAAGTTCCTCTACTGTTTAATTTAATCCGACTTCTGTTATAATTAAACCATGATTTATAATTTTCCATCTCAGAGTATCCAGTGTGAATCTGTTCCTCCAGCTCTATTCCTCTGGGATGGGTCTAGAGAGTGGGTGGAGAAAGCAGGACGAGAAAGACAAGGTTCAGGAGGGACAGTTTTCTTCTCTAGGTACATACTACATATTACATACAGAGTGTCCGACTAAATACGATTTTTTAAAAGATGGCTTAGAGATCTTTGATAGCAAACACTTTATCGACTTATAGCCTTCCATAATTTGTGTAGATCTCATGAAAGGCAGAACAAGTCATGCAATCTTCAGGTTTGGGGTTACGCTTTGTTTGTGGCTCAAACTGCATACATCAGTCTTTTTAAAGATTTTCAATTATTGCTTTGTTTGTCTTAGAGCACAATCAGTGAATAAAAAACAATTTAGAGATAAATTAAATTAAGGATCAGATACAACAGCTACCACCCCCACCTTCAAACATATTTACATCACATCTACATCATTCCTCCTATCTCTTTTATTCCTCCCAACAAACCAATCTAATCTTTTTGCCTTACCAGCAAATAATAAATTTTGAAATACATAAACAATAATACCTTTCTTGATCAAAATCAAAGTGAATAAATATTTAATACCTTTGAGTATTGTGCAACAGTTTGAGACTTAAAAGACGACAGTAAGGAATTTAATTTTGTAATCGTAATTCCTCTAACCTGCAGATGAATACTTGTTTTACCTTTGTCAGATCATTTATCTTTTAAAATCCTAATCAATATTCAACCTTCATACAATCATATTTTAAATCAATATTCAACCTTCATACCATCATATTTTAAAAGTTCTAGGTAGTCTTTTCAGTTTCATCTTTTGTGGATAACCCTGTACAGTGTACATTCACTCTTAAAAATGAGAATCCCTTGAAATAATGTCAACAGTCCCTTTATCCCCTGTTGTTGCAGGTTAGATGACCAGGATGGATTTAATAGAAGAAACATGGCGGAGAAATATGAGAAGGATCTTGTCGAGTTTATTATTCATTGTTCAGATCAATCAAATTAAAACTGGAGGAAGTATCTTCAAGAATCAGAAAACACTATTGCTCACAAACATATTTTCCAACAAATGTTTTCATATTAATAGTAATAACAAATGAGTGTCTTCTGATAACATCAGTTACCATAATGTACTTCTTGCTGCTCAGCTATATTTTTACTTATATCCAAGTTTATAGAAAATATTACAGTAAAAACCTTTTACTATAGACCAGTGCTCAGGCTCAACATAACTTGACCTCCTCAACATAAATGATAAATCAGGTTGACATAGTTGCAACCAAGATAGTTGTTGTTTTGTTCTCAAAATAAAAAGCAAAGCGTAAACTGATGAGAAATTTTTTAAAACCTAAAAAAAATTGCGAAAAAGACATTTTTTGCAAGACCCAAAAATGAAAAGGATAAAGGTAGATAAAAAATAAAAATAATGCCCGAGATTTAGACGATTTACCGACATTTTAGAAATATTGGAAATAAAAAATAAAATTAATTGATTCACATTACTCCAGATGCGAACCATATTTGCAATACTAAATCCTGTCAACGTACGTGTTAAAATAATTTAGTTATTTTTATTAATATGCAAACTTATATTTTGTGGATTTTCTAGCAAATAAATGTTCATCTGTAAAGAATTTATTATATTGATATGATTTACAAAAAAAAGGGTAATCAATATGCTGTACACTGTACAACCTCTCTACAAACAGTACAGAGTTTCAAATTAAACAAATCCAAAATTCTTGGTTTTAATCGCCATCAGTAACTTAGCCTTCAGTATCTGCTTGCTGAAATAGAAATAAAATTGGAATTTTTTTTTCATTCAATTTAAGTAAATAATCATCAGAATCATTATTCTAATAATCGACTTAGCATTTATTTATATATTTACATCCGCCAATTCAACATCAATTGTGAGTCAACCAAACAACTTTCTAACAATCGACATGTTAATAAATCATAAATATTACCTGTCAGTGTCACCACTGCCTTCCCACCCGAAATTATCCGTTATATTATTTTGTCATCTAAAAATTCGCGAAGAAGTTCTGCGATTTCGTCCTACCGTATAGTAACACTAGGCATAGGTTGGAACCCCTCCTCACTGGCTGGAAGGGCTGGGGATCCTGTCCAGAAATAAACTAGATCCTGCTTCTCCATAGCAGTCATCTTCTCAATAACAGCCCACAACCACCGTTTAAAGGAAACCAGTCTAAATATAGAATTATGTTTAGTCTCAAAGTAAAATTTGGGAAGGGGGATCTATCCCCCCCCCCCTAATCTACACACAAGACTATTTACTATCTTTAATTCAAGGATTGGAACTAATCGAATTAAGATTGCAGACCTCAATTTGTTCTCTTCATGTAATCGGCAAAGGAACTGAAAAGTGAACACTTGCCTCAAACGTATTTTTAATCCTTTTATCTTTGCAATCTGATTTAAATGATTTTTGATATTTCAAACTATAAATTCTTCTAGATTAAATTGTCAACATTAAGAAATATTTAGAAGTAGGAGCTGAAAAAGTAAAGTTTGAGGCGAGGGTTCAGTTCTTATCTATCTCCGGTCAAGGCTTCAATACTAGAATCTAACCTGTCGGGTGCTTCCCCGCTCTCATCGTTAAACGAAGTATAGGAGATCAAGGTTGTCACGTTGATATCTCCGACACCGTTTAGGAGCAGGCGCAGATCTTCAGCTGTTAATCCTTCCAAGGCACGGGCTGGGATTACATCAAACAACCCTGCGATTAAAACATGGATCAAAATAAAAGAAAACAAAAGAATACGAGTAATTTTGTTCCCCGAATGCAGGTTATAATTTCTTTAAATCTCTATACCAATGATTGTGTTATTTGTATAATTGCAAGGTTTTATCGTTTTATTAATCTTCTTTCTGACTCATACAAGAAATAGTATATAATTCATCCCAACACCCACTTTTCTCCCAGTAGAGTATCGCAACTTTGTATTTCTTTGCCAAAAAATAATAAGGCTGCGTTCTCCAATAATTCCACAGTGTACGTCACTGTACAACGTACAATTTACATATATATGTGTGATTAATATAGATATGAAGCCGACATTAATTAATTTTATGCAAGGAATGTTTTCTACTAATTTACCATCTCTCAGATTTTCTAGGGCCTTGGACTGGGACTTATACATCCTCTGCTCCGAGTAGAGACCAATATATCCAGCAAGACTTATTGGGGTCACATCTCGCTCACGACCTAAACAAATCATTTATCAAGAAGATGCGTAGTAACTCGTCAGTTAACAACCTAGCTCTACGTTCTCCCAGTAACATTATGCGAGCCAATATTTCAAAATATTATTAATCAAAACTTCCAATATTTCAAAATTGCATTCTGTTAAAATTTGCTTTTTTTGATCGAGCAACTGTTAAAAATAAACATTTTGAAAATATTTCCTCTTCTTACACTTTGCCAAATTTTGAGCCTTAAAGAAAATATTAGACAAAAACTAACCAAACACAAACCAACTTAATACACATCCCTAGTCAAGTTTAAATAGTTTACAGTTTACACAAGTTTAATATTTTCTTATACTTGTCCATTTTCGTTTTCTAACGCTTTTGAGAAAAAAAAAACGAATAAGAGATAAAAATAAAAAACTTATTGCTGATCAAATTTACACGTCATTACTGACCCAACCCCCCTCATCTACTGTTAATTAAAAATGTATGACGGAACTTACCAATGTTTTTGCAAGCATGGTACATATCAGTCCACTTTACAAACTCTTTAACTTTTTCAAAAAGCTGAAGCAGACATCAGATTTTGTTTTTGATAAACACATTTATACAAAAAATTCTGACATTTTAAAATAAAATTAAAGAAGTTAATTTGTTTACCATTAACAATGAGTTCCTTGCTCCCTCCTCCCTCCTCCTCGCATAGATCTATACAGGCGGTTATACCCAGGGACTGGAAGTAACTCTGAAATAAAATAATCATTTCAAGGAGAACTATTTTCCCCCATTTCTCCAAAAAAAGCACCCCCCCTTAAAATATACGCGACTCCTAAAACCTTTAACCAAAGAATTTCTTTTGTCTGGATTTGAACTTGCCCACGATTGTTTGTGGTTAAAAAATTTATGAAAATCGCAAAAAAACAAGAACGAGAACATTCACTTTATTTTTATTTCAAATCTTCCAATTTGTTTGCTGCACGCCTAATTATTGTTCGAATTTCCAAAAATAAAATAAAATTGAAGTTTAATGCTCTCTAATGACCTCTAATAAACTCAACAAATAGAAAATGTTTTAACTATGGCTTTATGCATATCAAACGAAAGCTAGGAATCCAGTGAATACATTAGCAGCAACAAATTCAGTCTTTGACCTTCTAATGACATTAAATGACCTTAAATGACCTACAAAATGAAAATGTTTGACAAATGCTGATTTCTTTGCTGCTACTGTATTCCCCGGGTTTCTGGGTTCCTAGCTTTCGTTTGATATGCATAAAGCCATGGTTGAAACATTTTCTAATTGCTGAGGTCATTGGAGGTTATTAAAATTCAATTTTATTTTATGATAGGAAATTTGAACGCTAATTAGGCGTGCAGCCAAAAATTGGAAGATTTGAACCAAAAATGAAGACAGAAACCCCCTTCCCCTTCATGAAATAGGACATCTCCACCATCCCATTTTAAATTTGAATAATGAGCAATAATTCTTCAAAATATTGTCTAATGAAACAAGCAACGGCTTGGTCTATTAGTCTTGTTTTGAAACTCTTTTCACATTTATTTTGTTAAATTTGCTAATACATAAAAGAAAAAATAGAAACCTTTGACTCCGGCATATTCTCTACGTCTGTGAGGAGTTGTCTGAAGGACTCGTAGATGACAGGATCAAAGAACGCCAGGTCGTGGAACTTGAGAGGTCGTCCCAGTATATACTAATAATAAATATAGTATACCATTCACCATTTTATTAAAGAGACTGTATCCATAATTTCAAAGAGGGTCTTTTGAAATTACGCTTATGGGTCCCTTTTGTGTAATAAACGGCTAATAATAGTGCACTTTAACCCGCTATCTTTATTATTTATCACTTATCCGGAGTGGCAAAATGTTGGCAGAATAAAAAATCAAATATATAAAACAAACTTAGTTAAAAAAAATACATCTCAAGGAATCGCTCAAGATTTTGTCAGCGAAAAAAGAAAGGTAAAAAAGGATAACACTAGGAAAGTTTCTTCGGTAGTATAAATCCGGTTCCGGATCCAAATTTTAACAGTGCGGATCCAGGATTTGAATCCCCGTTTAGAATAAAAAAGGTTTTAAGGAACTGTTTAAATTGTTGATGACAAACTTTTATTTCGTCACTTAAAATATTGAGAAAATGAAAAATGTAGATTAATTTTATTAAAAAAAAATTACAAATATATCTCTGGTAAATTTAAACGCATGAATAAAGGGCAAAGGCAGACCACATTTTGGAATTGGCAGGACTAGGGCCATTTTGTTATCATCGCTTCAAAGGTCAGACATTCCCGGTTGCGCAATAAAATTGACAAATTTTCATTTTTACTTCTTCAAAATCAGGAACAGTGAACAGAAGGAGAAGAAAAGAAGGAAGAAGTTAGAAAGGATGATAAGAAGAGGAAGCAAATCAGAATTTTTCTGTATCAACTGTATCCAATTTATAAAATTAAAATTTCAAAATAGTAAATTGTTCAAAAATATATATATAGTTGTCATCTCTGTTTGTCCGTCGGTCTGTCTGTTTTTCCGATCATAACTCAGGAACCCCTATACCAATTCCCGGTAAAAATCGTTCCAAGTGCGGGTAAACGGGGGGAGTAACTTTAAGTAACCTGGGCAGCGCTGGGTTCCCAAGTCAGTTAATCATATTTTCAAAATGAGATTTGTAAAATCGTCTGATAAGTTATAAACTAATTCTGGGTCTTTCTAGTTGTGACTTGAATTTAATAGAAATAATAAGTGCAGTGGCAATTAGAAAAGAGTAGATTTTATCATTTGTAAGTTCCGTGTTTCTAAATATGTGACCTGACCATTTAAAAAAAAAAACACAATAACCAACCTCGCAATTTTATAAATAAAATACAGAACGAAGACGACAATTATTCCCCTATTTTCTAATTACCGCTGTAAAAATATTTTACGGTTGTTTAATGTTAATATTTACCTTTAAAACATGACGGTTTAGAAACAAGGGACAAAGTTCGTTCTGAAGAAGACAGAGACCGAGGAGTCGACCAACATTTCTAAACGCGTTCAGGCGAACTTCCGTTGGTCGACCCATTCGGGGGGAGTAGAATCCTTTCTTACCAGGCTAAAATATAAACATATAAAAATGAAGGGGTTTCTTAGATTTATTTACATTGTCATTGGGACTGGGAAAAAGTGATTGTTTTTTAAATGTAAGTAAAGCGTAATTTGAAGTGATCTTGCATGCAAGAATGGAAATTGGAGATCCCGATCTTAAACTGTACCCTTCAACCTTTAATCGATCAAAAATGTTTTTGTCAAGATAATGTCGTTTTTCTTAGTTTGAGAAGTGTTGCAATCTGATAATTCCTTTATGTTTTCCAGCAGTAAAACTGTGTATGTCACTTTTGTCGAGAAACTTCATATGAAAAAATCAGTTATCTAGGTTAAAAACATTCCTAATTCATATTTGTGAGTTGAGTTTAGTTTAGGTATGATAGAACCTCACAAATATTATATAATATGATAATCTTATGAGGATAAAAATGTAATAATGTAAATTCTAAAACCAGATGAAATAACCTAGATGTATTCTTTAACGAAGGCCGCAGATTAAAGCATAAGATAAGATTATCATAATATCTAATCCGCATCAGACAAAGCTTAAAAGAGTACTGTTGTAAATTGGGCATTGACATCTTTGAATGGAGGGCCATTTGAAATTGCACTTACAGTCGGTTAAATCTGACCTGATAAAAGAGCGGAGACAAATCCTCACCCTCCACCTCCTTAGTTGGTTCTCCGCCTGGTGTACTCTCCTTCTTGGCCCCTGTGCCAGGTGGTGGCGTGAGCCCGGCGGCGAGGCTGAATGCGTCTAATGGCGACATTGAATCTGAGCTTAGAGAACTACCAGTGCCTTAATAAAAATAAAGAAAGATAATTAAAGATATGTAGAATAGATATAAAGAAAATACTTTAAAAAATGCTTCAATTCCGAATTTCTTCTGGAAAAATCTAAATTAAGATAAATCCATACAACATTGTTTTCTCACAAAATATAATTCGAATTCTTATTAAAATTTTTACTTCACATCCAGAAACTGGATACTCTTACCTTCAAATAAATAATCTAAAATATAATGATTTAAGTTTTTTTTTATTGGCTTCTTTCTTTAAAACTTTTTAACTTTTTTCAATACTTATTCCTTGTTAACTAATTTATTTTCCCTCAAAGTCCATTTATTTTCCCGAAAAGCTAAAATTCAGCGGAAGTCCGCAAATATGTACAAAANCCTGGTGGTATATCCATGTCCACAATCCCTCCTGAAGGTGGCAGAATCTGTGCACCTGTAGAACTACCTCCAGAGGTGAGAATAATATCTACAGCCTCTTCAACCCTCTCCCTCAGGCTCTCTTCAGTAGCGAGGAGAAGGAGAAGACTGGCTGGGGAGAGTTCTAGGAGCATCCCGGTTATCTTACTTGCCAGACTTGGGCGCAAGCTTTGCACACGTGGGAACAAGCGCTCGCCAAGCTGCTGCTGGTGGTTGGACAGATGGTCGTTACTTCCTCCTTCACCATTCATATAGAAGGGACGAGCTTCATATCTCAAGGGAACAGGCTCACGAGGTGTGTTACTTAAACTTTTTCTATACGATGCATGGCGACCACCTCGGTTCCCTCGTAGTCGTTGGATTAAACTCAGTTGCATGGATTTTGGTGCGTTAGGTCCAGCCTGGGCTGCCTCAAGGTTGGGTATAGGTTGCTCAACAAGGATAGCTTCAGCCAGAGCAGTATAGAAGGATCTAGCAACCCCGCTTCCTTCTCCGGGCTCATTCTGGAACATTACCTTTACTCTGTTCACAACCATGGGAGGATGGGAGGGAGAGGGTCGCTTACTATGTGTCTGGAAATGGTTGTTAAATTCTTTAAATGCCTGAATGATCAACTGTGAGCGTTCCCTCTCTATCTTGGAGAGAGTAAGATCTACAGTTCTAGAATTGCGAAGTTTCTCCATCTCTCGACGGAACTTGGCTTCCTTAACAGGGAACCCTCCAAGCTCGGAGATAATACTACCAGGCTCTAATCCTACATCATCAACAAATACACGACCAAACAGGTCTAATACTAAACGATACCGACCAAGAAGTGCGTCATGGGAGAACCCTAGTCCTGCCCCGACAAACACATTTTTAGGACTGCTTGTCTCTACAGTTACATTAGCAGAGACATCTGAGTTCTCCTCTGATCTTTCTCCTGTATTAGGAACAACCAAAATATCTGGAGCAGAGTCAGCTTTACTGTCAACTAGTTGACTGGCTACCCCAGCAAGTGTTGCTAATCTATCATCATCAAGCTCTGAAATTCTCTCATTTTCTCTAGCTGCCTCTCTCAGTAACATCATCTTCTTGGGAGAAGTGAAGTTGGACTGTCGTGAACTGTCCTCCATTTGAACCAGACTAAATATATCAGAGGAGTTGGATCCATCTTGTGAGGGGCCGGGAATGGGCTCATCTTGACGCAGACTGAGATCTTGGGGTTCATCGTCACTTCTACCATCACCAGGTTTATTGACAGGACCGGATTCAGTTGAATCCAAATATCCAGCAGCTGAATCAGAACCAGATATCCCTGGTTCACTAGACTGCATGATGACATCCTCTGAGAACTGTTCAGTAACCTCACTGCTAGGAAATAGTTGAGTTCCACCAGAGAACCTTGTATCAACCACTGCCTCAGAAAACAAATCACCCATCTTAGCTTCTGTACTAGAGAACTGAGAGGCCGGCTGTACTTCTTCAATTCCAGACCTGGTACAAAGTCCAAGTTTAGTGGATAGACCTCGAGCACTGGAGCTGTCAGCCTTCATCTGATGACGGGCAATGCCAAATAACTCCTCTTTTCTGGCTGTAGGAGTGAGAAGCTGTGGTTGGTCCGCAAGGGGTAAAGCCTCAGCAAGGGGAGTAATATAGGGATCACAGGGAGGACAACCTAAACAAAGGGTTGACTCTGAACGTTGAAAAAAATATTTTCTATTTTTGTTGGGGTATATATGAGTCACTACCATAGCTCCAATTGCATCCAAAATGTTGTTCTCTTTTACTCCTGCTCGCATACAGTATACCAGGGCATCAAGAACATATGCAACATGCTTCAAAGCAGAAACATCTAGGACAGGCAGAGAGTCTGAATGTTCACTGCTGTAAGCTCTCATTAACGAAAGAGCATAGGTAAGGAAGTCCCGTCTGCTAATAACAGGATCTGTAGAGCTGGAAACAGATGCTCTACCAAGATATCCTCGTTCAGTTGCTGACTTAGAACCTCGGTTAACTCCCATCGCACTAATCGTCATGCTGCCTGAATCTGTGGCAGAGGACAGAGCAGAGCCAAACCTTAATTGAGCCTCAGTAGAGTCTAAAATATTCATCAGCCATTCCCAGTTCTGTTTCATCTCTTTATCCACTACAGCCTGGAGGCTTGCTATCTCTTCAGCATTGATGTGAAGAGTTCTGGGCAGTTTTGGCGCCAAACTACAATAATCTGGAAGCATGATCATCAGATCTGAAATTTGTCTCAAAACAATTCCAAAAGCTCTGGCAAGACTGTTGCAAGTTGTCACCATTGTGACAGGTTCAGCGTTAGATCCAGCAGGAGCTGAGGAACTCCCAGCAGCTGGGGCTCTTCTCAAGTTTGGATCAATATAAATAAAACCTCCAGTAGCTCCCCCTGAACCCTCTCCTCCTCTACCTGGCTTAGTTCTGGTCCTGACAGCCCACTGCATAGTTTGAGGGGCAGGGTTACCCCTCTCAGCAGTAGCTGCACTAGTTGTGGTTGTTCTTCTTTCAAGCTGTTCTTCAGGGAATAATTCTTCTTCACCTTGTTCATCAGTTTCACCAGCATCACTTTCATCATCAACTGGATGAGAGGATTCTGAACTATCATCATCACTGAACAGAGCATCACTTCCAGCAGTAGCCCCAGTCTGGATAGATTGTGCAGCAGCAGTGCTATTTGCATCATTAACATCTCCACCATCCCCTTCAGCATCAGAATCACTGTCTGATTCTGCCAACAAATCCAGATCCATGTCACTTTGGAGCCCGTCATCGTTCTCTTGAGACACATCTCCCTCTCTCTCACCAACTCCACCATCCTCTGGCCTGTCATCCCCATCATCTCCTCCGTCATCATCACCCCCATCATTGCCCTCAAGCTGATCATCATCATTAGTTTCATCATTATCATCTCTCTCCATTTCAGAAGCTTCCGCAATACTCTGAGAAAGGCTGGGAATAGTGTCAGCCCTGTTTCTAGATCTCAGTGAAGATCTGTTAACACCATCCTCCCTGAACAAAACAAAAATCAAATTAGTTATCAATTTTGTCAGGGGCCGTGTATAATGTATATGGTTTAGAAATGGTTTTTGGGGTGGGGGAGGTTTGGGCACTTAATTGTGGGATATAAAGGATTATTCCATAGTTTCCCAAAATAAAAATTTAAAATAACATATTTTTGAAATCGCATTTTTTTTTACTTTTAAGAACATTTTTTTTTGAAATCTCACAAAAATTGGAAAAATATAGAAAATATTTAAAAAATTATTTTTTTAATTTTTTTTTTAATGTCAAACATCACTTTGATAAGATTTTTAAGCTTTTTGTTCTCGCAAATCGTCGAATACTTTGATAATCTTCTTTTAATCCTAGGAAAATCGCAACTGCTTTCATTAGTCACCTTACTTTGACACCTCAAACATTCTCTTTCATTGGTGTGATTTTCCCAAATCCCATAATGCATCCCGAATAAACATTTTAAGTTATTTTGAAAGTTTAACATTTATCAAGAATACATGAATCTTAAATATGTTAAAAAATATCATTAAAGCAACAACTTAAAAATACAAAAATGTTTAACACAATATTGTACTTAACACTGTCCTGATCTAAACAGTAAACATGGAACTATTGGACAGTACAGATAGTTTAAACGCTTTGTTAAAATTTAACAAAATATTTATATTTAAAAAATGAATTGACTTAAAACATGGAATTCGTAACATTTTTCCTAATTTAATCAACTGAGAATCAATTTTCTTAAGTAAATTTCACTTTTTCTGACATGTTAATAATTACACATCCCTCTGTCTGGCTGGGGTCCTCTTAAAAAAATGTCACAAAACCCCACTTAAATTATTTATTAATTGAATTTTCATCTATCTTCTGAACCTCATATATTAAAATGTAAAAAGAAACATATTTACAGAAGGAGGTACAAGGATTGAAATCAGAACTTTGAATAAAATGTAAGAGGAACTATCTGATGAGGTACAAAAACAAGAATTTTTTTCTTCATCATATTTTTAAAGGTTTTACAAGACTTTTGATGAAAATAGCGAGAAAAAAATTTTAAGGTGAAATTTTTTAAAGAACACTTGAAAAAATAAGAAATCCCCCCAAAATTAAGAACTTTAAGGACAAATTGCTGGTTTTAGCCAAAACTTAAATTTAAGAACAGAGGGCAACTATGTATTCGGTTAAAATAAATATTTTTGGTGTAAAAAGTGTTTAAAGAGACAAAAAACTTGCCTTTTCAGGTCACTTTTTAAATTTATTAAATTTTTTAAAAACATCCAAATGTCAAGGGAATTAAAACCAGATAAGGAACACTATCAATTGATTTTAGATCTACTTTCGTAGTTAGCCCTAGAAATAATTTTCATCTTCGGCTTGTAGACGGGTGAATACTATACATATACATCCTAGCTCTAATTTGTATAAAGAAACTAGTAAGTTTAGGATCAAAAAACTAAGGCAGAGAAACTTCTTCTCAAACAGTTGGATAACACCTTCAGTTTAAAAGTACCCTGCTAATAAATATCAACAAACCGATTTGGGTTGTTAAAAAATCGGTTTTTATGATTAACTTTTTTAGAAAAATATTCCTTGATATAAATAGTATTCTAAATTTCATGGCACAAATTTTTGGAAATGTAGACTATCAATCGAATTTTTACCATGGATTGTTATCGATTTCTGTTTCTAGGTTGGAAATAAGATTATAAGATTATAAGAGGATTGGATCTGTAAAAGAAGCCCCAAAACGAAATTTAATAATTAAAAATGATAAAAAAAAATCTAAAAAAGGGAGTAAAGTTTTATTAAAATCTATGATGAACCTAACCTTGCTTCTTCTTCTCTTCTTCTCCTCCTGCTAGCTCTATCTGAGGATGGATCGCTTCTTGTCATAGGATCCACATTGAATATATCATCCATAGCCGACAAAGACTCGGTTCCTAAAGATAATACAAATTTTAGAATATCATAAAAAAGTATACAGATTTGGGAGAAAAAATTCAACGTAAAAATTCAACGCAAGTTTTTCACTCTTATTGATATAATTTTTATCTACCGAAGGTTCCCAAAACAGTAGCTTGAATTGTCTAAGATTATAATTCAAGATTAAAAAGCCCAACAGAATCCTTGATTTTTTTCGGTTCATGTTTCGCATTTAAATGTTTCGCATCTAAATGTTTCGCATCTAAATGTCTCGCATCTAAATGTCTCGCATCTAAATGTCTCGCATCTAAATGTTTCGCATCTAAATGTTTCGCATCTGATGAATGGTGTTTAAGGAGTGAACATACCCATTTATAGACCGACTTGTCCGATAAACCAAAGTTCAAGTATGAAAAAGTTAGATTAAAAAATCCGTTCTTTATTTTTCTTGAATTTATTATTTTAAGAATAGTTTCTCTTAAAAAGTGACTCCGGCTTTTCAAAAACAATGAAGAACATTGTTAAAATTAGACATTGCCAAACCAGAAAAACGATTATTGATCAGATAACTGGTACTGCTGTAAATAAGACAGCAACCGCTCGTTAAAACTATTAAAAAGAGAGAATAAAAGTATATTTATCAAAATTTACTCCCCTACTAATTAGTTTACAGGGGTATATATTTTTCATAATGATTTTTGATGAATTGGGAAGAAAATGAAAAATGGAACGTCAAAAGACAAGTTTTTTTTTGGTGCTTTATCTTCTTCTTGTTCTGACTGGGAGAAGTTTCTACCGATAAAACCACAAACAGACGAGCAACAGACCGAACAAACCTACGGACAGTGGCCTTAACCTCCTGACTGTTGGCCTCCGAAGCTGTCTGGAGTTGACGGATGAGGGTGATGAGTAGTGTGTCTAGCATCTCAGCAGAGCATTTAACAATCAGACAATGCGTAAACTTATCCAGCAGGGTGGTTCCTGATTGACTGGCAAGGAATGCTTGATCTTCATACATTTCAGGCGCCTTACTAGTCTCTACACTAGACTTCTCCCCTGTACTCAGCATACTGCTGACCGCTGGCCAATCATTGAGTAACCTCTCTAGAGCTCGACGACAGAACCTTGGGGGTTCAAGATCGTGATCCGGCATTTCAGGAACAGAACCGTCGGCCGGTTGGGCGGACTTTCGGCTCGCAATCTTCTTAGGCTTAGATGGTCTGTACTGTCTCTGCTCTACCATCTGTCTACCAACGGTTTGAACAAGGAAGAGAAGAATGTTTTCATTTTGACTGTTTGGTCTAGTTGCAAGATCAGTTTCTGTGATCAGTCGACACAATAGATCGTATCTAGACGGTTGATGACCGGCCACCAGAGCTTTACACTTACACTTCTCCCAGCAATCACAGTATGCAGTGGGACTTGTTCTCTTTAACTTACAGTCGTGACCCTTATGACAGGTTCTAGCACACTCAGTGCAGCAGCAGAGGGTTTGGGTCAACCCACAGGTTCTACACTCGAATATATCCTGGTTTATATGCTCTGCACCAGTCCAGGTGAAACTGCAAGTATCGTTGCATGCCACAACATGCAGGGGAGATGCATTAGGTAGGCTCCCAGAGGGGAATACCATCGACATCAAGGTTTGTTTCTGTGTCTCAGCATGCATAGAGGATTCCTTGGCTACACGGGATGCAGCATCAAGTAGAATTAGGCTGGCAGGATAAGCTCTGTGGCAAACACTGGCCATGAAAGGAGTGTTTCCTTGAGCATCAAGTCCAGCTAACAAGTACTCCAGGTGGGGTGCAAACACTGTTGACTCAAAAATAAGTTTCAGAGCTGATAAAGAGGATTTTCTCTTTTCCAAATCTTCATTTACAGACGGTTTCTCCTTACTATTACTCCCTAAACCTAGTAATCCATCTTCTTCAGCAGTTGGGTCCATGGGCTCAGGAGGCCAGGCTAGACTGGGTATAGGTGCTCCAGCTGGGACAGCATTATCATCCATACTTGGAGGAGAAACATCTCCTGGTTGACCATGAGACTCCATTGTTCTAGCCGCAGCTTGGGTCGCCCTGCGCATCATATCTCTAAGATTGAGAGCTCTGCTGCTGTTTAATGTGTTGGATCTGCTGATTAGAGAACTAGTGATAGATTCAATACTCTCCATACCTGGAGTAGGTGATCCGTCCTCCTCATCTCTGTTGGTTGCTGGTTGACACCCAGAGACTAGGGCATGAAGCACATTGCGTCCTCCGTCACATCTCTCCTCTAGGATACTTTGAAGACATTCTAGATCATTTGTCTCTTCTAGATACTCGATAGTTTCAATTATCTCTGGTAGACTACGCTTCAGAACACGGGACATAAGCTCCTGAGGTGCAAAGCTGATCACCATAACAGCAACCTCATTCTTCAACCCTGGTTGAACATGAGGCAGCGCATGGGTACCAAGCCCCACCGCAGAGAGGGGAGGCAGGTCAAGCCAGATTGGATCACGGATAGAATCTGCAGAACTAGTTGAGTCTTTCACAATAGGATATACGGTTCTGTTCCCGTCCAAGAGCAGAGAGACGAACTCAGATTCCCCGGTGGAACGGAAAGAGATATTGTTAGCTCCTAGTCCCATAAAGGATGGAACATCCACAGGAAACTTTGACTCTAACTCAATCTTTCCGGAGCAAACGTTGTAGGACTTGAGGAAGAGTTTATTAGACTGTCTGATGACACAGTGGACTCCTTGCCCGTCCACTGTCAATGCTAGAAGAGTTGATGGATCAATTGTGATTACTTTCTTAGGTTTAGTCTGGAAGCAGTCTGGTAGCCGGGGGAGAGAACCGTTCTTAACAAGCTGTAGCTCATCCTTCCTTAGAAGCCGGGTATTCTCCGACATTATTACATCCTCGTCCTTCTCCTTATTCTTCTCCTGGGCAGCAGTAGAGGTTGGGAACCTAACAGCGCAGTAAGGACCATCTACCTTCAACACCTTCCCTACAGGGATATTCTTAGAGTCCTCTACGAAGATCACGTCCTGAAGAGGCCACTCCTCTTCATCAATCCTCTCTGTCTCCTCCTACAAAATAATGAAAGATACTGAAGATAAATTCTTAAGTCGTAAACAAATCTGGATAACTACTTAATCAAAGTGAATTTTCAAATTTGATGAATAGCAAGAAGTAGTGGAAAGTGGACTAACCGTTTATCTAAACTTAAATCGATGCATAATGAAAGTGGTCTAAGTATTTTTTGGGTGAATTATAAATTCCGATGATATTAAGATAAAATGGTAATTCGGACATCAAAATCCAAGTTCGTTGTTTATGTTTTTGGTTTTTTTACTCAAAAGTTCTCCAAAATATTATTAATTTTTAGCAAATGAAGAAAATAAAATACCAAACAAATATGTTGGGGAAAAAATTATTTTTCAAGAAAATGTATACCACAACTGAAAGTTTTAAAATTCTCGAAATCTGAAAAAAGCTACCTTAGGAGCCGATCTCTTATGCCTCCTGGCTGGGGCAGGAGAAGGACCTCCAGGTCCCCCTGCAGGGTTACTCAAGCTTCCATCTGAACAGGTTGAGCTGGCAGGTGATGGAGGAGGTGGCATACTTGCTGCATCATCTTCTCTCTTGTTATTCTTCTCACGGGGCAGCTCAGGGATCTTAGGTTTCTTCGGGGGTTGGATTATCTTAAACCTGACAAAATAAGCAACAATTAGTTAAAGGGGGTGAATCATAATTGCATAATTTGATTCATTCTTAACCCTTTCATTTTTGCGAACATTCCCTCTAAATAAAACCAACAGTTGCATTGCATGACAGTTTAGGGTGGATTATAAGTGTCTTAATCTTTCCAAAATAATCAATACAAAATTTTTAGACTTAATTCGTTCAATCAAATCAATGAATTGTAATCTTGTCAGTTCAGTTTATGGCGGTTGAGCAAACAAAATTAGTGTCCCATTTTGCCCCAAGAACCTAAAAGTAGTTCCACAGAAACCAATGCAGCTAATATTGTTCCATTTGGTGCCAGTTTTAAGTTTGTGTTGAGCTAGGTTGATGGGAAGTGCCCGTGCAAGACTTGTGCATTTTCGGATTTTAGGACCAACTCGCGAGATATTTTTTTCAACAAGAAATTGAAATAATATGATTATTCATATGATAATGAATATAGTAAACACATGAAAAAAATCAAATTATGGCATATCTCGAAAAAATGTAGAACTAGGACACCCTACCCCGACCAACCCTCTCACAAAAATGCGGAGTTAATTACCTGCATGAATCTGTAATATTCCAAGCTGCATTGAGAAGCTGTCCAACCTTTGGTACACCACCAGCCACTGTATATCCAATAGATCCCGCCTAAATAGTAATAAACATCAACAAAAGAACAAATTTTCTAATTACTATATTTTTAAATCCTAATAATAGATCCTATTTAAAATTTTGATTATTTGATATGTCATAATTCATAATTTGAAATAACAAAGTTCTATTTAGGTTGCAAGATATAAGGATGGGAAAATTAAGAGTTCGATGAGTTAACAGTTACTTTCTTAATTCAACACTCAACGATTCAGGACCCATGGCTATTTAGGTCCTAGTTTCATAGATATATTAAATAATAAAGCAACTTTTTCCTTTAATTTAAGTCGAGAAAGCATAAAAAAACATGATAAACAAGGGGCAAAAATTAAAAGGGGGGGAGGGGATTAACATAGGGATTATAATTGGTCGTGGAAATATAGAGAAAAAGTAATAAAAAAAGAAAATTACCTGGTAAAGCGGAGCAGTGGATAAGCAGACCTGACTACCAACTGTAATCTCGGTGGAGCTGCTCTGCTTTCCCTTTTCCCCCTTTCCACCCTTTCCCCGGCCCTTGGTGTTCTCAGCCGCCTTCCTCTTGTTCGAGTACTTATCTAGAAATAATGATAATACTAATGATAAAAACATTGATAATGACAATTAATGATTAAGATTATCATTAATGACAATGATAAGGATAAAAGCATTGAATTTTTCCACTCTAGTTTAAAATCAAAATGTTTTAACCTTTTAAAATGAATTAGGGTGAAATAATGTCAACAGTTAACAGTGAAAACAAAAATCATATTTGAACTAACCAAGAAGTTTCTTCCTGTGATGCAAGGGTAGAACCCCCCACCAGTATATAGCTCCTCCTTCCATACGCAGTACAGTGTACAGTACACATGTACGCAGTGATTCAATCCTGAATAGGTTAATATTAGTTAATGCTCAGAAGATTTTCGCCACTGAAGAGAACTGGGTTATCCTATAACACTCCCCCACACCCCATATGTCATTGTCCCCTATCACTTCAGGTTTTCATCACTGAATTTGGGAAGGGAAGGTCCGGGAGTAGGGGGATTTAAATGGGTATATAAATAAACAAGAAAAAAGAATCATATCCTTACAGTCCGGGGATAGAGTTAAACCTTCAACTTATTTATCCCAGTAAGAAGAATACAGGTCTACCCACAATAGATGAGACAGTAAAGACAACTTGAAACAATAAAACTTTTCAATTATGATGATCCCAAGTTTAACTTAAGTCTTGAGTTTAGTTTTTAAATGGCTCATTTTATGATTCGGCAAAAAATGAAAGAAGTTTACAGTTGCAATAAATCGTGAATATAAGCAGACAGTATAAATTCAGTACAGTCGTCTCTGAAGTCTCATTCTTTGTCGGTAACCCTGTACTTGCAACATGAAATATGGCATCTGTTAACAAATCGAATAATAATAAAAAAATCTCTATTTATTATTCACCTGTCGCCAAACAAGTCAGGAAACGCTGTGGCTGTATGCTCCAGTTTCCCGCAAATATGCGACACTGTCTCATCCATCCAGGTAGCGACACGTCCACTCTCCGTCACCAGGCTAGCCCTGATAGCGCTAGCAGAGAGCATGGTCACCCTGTCATTGGGTGGGATGGTGGAACCGTTGCAGTTTATATTTGCCAAACCCAAGAACCCGGCTCTAGGATGGTTTCCTGAACAAAAAATTCATCTTGAGCTGAACCATTGCAAAATTCAGCTGTTCTCACTCAGATCTATATTTACATTTCATAAAAAAGTTTTGAAGGACAGATCATTTTAATTTTGTTATTAAATTCCAGTCCGATTGTAATAATAATGTCAGGTAGGATCAAACTTTTTTTTAACCCACAGCTTTAAAACTATACCTGTAGGGTTGTCTGGTCTCTGTGGAGCAAGATCTGTCCAACACCATTGATACAGATATCCAGCTGTGCTCACAGCTAACAGTTCAGAGTGTAGAGCAGCTATAGCTGTAAACCTAGAATACATTAACATTGATATAGATGATTAAAACCGTTCAAAATCAATTTATAAACGATGTTGCTGTATCATCGAAAAAACTTCAGTTTGAGAGAACCGACCCTGACAGCCAATGAGGTTAAGCACACTGTTCACTGAAGTGAATATACAATGCATGTACATTGTACAGTACATGCATTGTACTATACAGCAATACGACGTTGTCATTTAATAGACAAGGACGGGATGATTATCATGACAAAAAGTATTTTGCTTTATCCATCCATTGCCCATCCCTCTATTTTCGATTTATGAATAAAAAATCACCGAATAGGGTTTCCAACAGGTTTCTCAGGCCAGAACTCCAATTCATCTCCCAACCAGAGAGGAGAAGGACTAGCGGGTACACCCTTCTCTCTTTTAGTCAGGTCATCTCCAGGCTCCTACACTCATAATTTAGTTAGATAATCAATTAATTAGTTTGTTAATCAATTCAATAGTTAATTAATTGACAATTGATCAGTCAATCAAAAATCAGACAATAAGAAAACAGACAATCAGAAAATTTATTATATAATCAAATAGTCAGACAACCATATAATCAATGAATTAGTTTATCAATTAAATCGTTATTCAGATAATCAATCAATCAATCAATCAATCAGTTTATGACATAAGCAAACAACTAAATAACTATTTATCTTTACCAAGAAAGTTAAAAAATCAAATAAAAAATCAGATGAAGACCAGACAATAAGACACTTAATAAAAAAATCAGATTAAAGAAGTCAAGGAAGCAACTAACCTGCCAGGAACTATCTCTCAGGGCGGATTCAAGCCACTTCTTCGGTCCAATATACTGTCGATCCCTCCACCTTTACAAAACCAAAATTATGATTTAGAAGAGACAAGCGTTCAGATTAACAGATGTTCTTTAAAGGGACTGTACGCGTATTTACAAAAGAACCCTTCAAGTAAAGAGGACGATTCCTGATTTACAACGATACCCTTTAAACAATAGTCTGTTCATCGAGAACAGAGATCTGTTGTGAACTTAACATAATTTTATTCCCTTAAAATTACTAAATCTTTAACGTAAACGCGGCTATAAAAAATTTGACAGAATTTTTTTTTCAGGTGAAGAATCTTAGACAGTGTATAATAATTTTCAAATGTATGTATAATACCAAGAATTAAACGATTAAAACGTTTCTGTAGATTAATGAGGTGAAGTCTGAAAACCTTGACTAGTCAAAGGTTTAAAGGTACTGTTGGTTCTCTTCTCTTCTCTCTCCACAACTGAGTAGAAAGCGTGACTAATCCCGAACAAGATAAAGTAATAAAGATGAAAACAGAAGCAATACAGAAACTCAAAACATCAGGGATGAAGTACATGCTGATACAGGTTTTAAGGGGGAACAGAGCCTTCAATAGACTTTAAATCAAATACCATAAACTGGTTTTTCACCCTCCTCACAATGGAAACTGGATTACTCATGGCAGACCTCTGACAATGATAGGCAAAAGACACACTCCCCGTGTTTTAAAGCGATGGGACAGCATGCTTAGCGGGTTATTTTTTCTTTAAAAATCTGTCCACGTGGGAATACACGTTAAAAGTGAGGACTATGGTATTTCTGATACCTGTTACCCTTACACCCCCATCCTCATCCGCCTACCTCCTAAATTCCAACCTTATCCTACTTCACGAGCAGATATTGTGGAACTCAGAAACTGCTTTGCTGTGGAATCTTAATCAAAACTTTCTGAGAGAGATCATCATTGGTTTCATTGGGTGTTACTTTCCTAGGGGGTACACCTAAATCACCTTGAACCTAGCCGAATGCAGTTAAGGCTAGGAGGTCTTTTAATTTCTTTCTAAATTACTGCAAGACACTGATACATGTAATGCAGCTGACAAAGGGAAGTTCTCATTACAACAATGTCAGCAATAAACCTGCATAGATGGCCGATATCAAAAACAACTGAAATAAATACAGAAACTCAAGAGCTGATATTAAAATACTACAAATTGCCTGATCAGCATCTCAAAACTGCATATTAACCCTCCTGGGGGGGCGGGGGTATGCAGCTAATTGAACGAGCATTACAGGACAGCCAGGAAACAAGAAGATTGGAAACATGATTATCTGCATTCTGCATTAAATACATGTATCAAATAATTTGTTTCATAAAAAAAATTAAAAAATAAATAAATTGATAAAGTTAAAAAAAAGGTACTGTTGGGAATGTTAAAATAGAAGGTCACTTGAAATTACGCCTACAGTCCCTTTAAAGCCCCTAGACCTTGGATTAAAGACACCAGAGCAAAAAAACTAACTGAAAGCATCAAGTAACTGGGCTGGGTGCCCTCCAGTCATAAAACTATATGTATAATGTACACTGAGATATATGGGAAAGTAATTCATCATTTGGTCGCTGAAATGATTGTGGGGCTGGCGGCATTAATGTAAATAATTTCTTATGCCGGACATTTCCTAATTTACACCCGCACTTAGTTAGATATTCACACTGGTCTATAATATACAATGACCCCACAACCCTTTGTACTATAATAGTTACCTAAGAAGATTATCTCTCTCCTGCTCTGGTCTATCCCTATCCTGTCCTCTATCACTACTCCTTCGAGCACTCGAAGTTCTAGACCTTCGACAAAAAAAAAAATATCAAAAAGTGTTTATCTGAGAGCCCTAGGTTAGAAACTTGGAAGAAAATCAACATAAAATTTTTTATTCGATCATGGGACTAAAAATTCAAGTATTTGAGTACATCTCTAGGGGACGGTGGTAATCATGCAGCATTAGAGCTTCAAGACTTTATTGTTAAAGGTAATTGGGTTGGGTTGAGTGGAGAGCAGAAAATAAGAAGAGTTTAACAACAAATTAAGCAAAAATATATCTTTATCAAAAAAAGATAAAAAAAACAGAACTTGTTAATATACAAGTATATGGTTTGCGTCAGGAATATAGTTACGAGGTAAAGACATTTAAATTGTTTTGTTCTTTACTTACAAAAAATATTGAGAAGGGAAAGCTTGAACATTTTTAACATTAAAATATACTTGCACGTATAGATACAATACCTGCTCTGAGAATATCCAAACATATCCTCATTAAACATTGCCTCCGCGTCTATTATAACCGAGGGATGGTCAGCTGATATACCAGCATCTAACAAGGATATCAGATCCTAGGATATATATAAATATAATCTAATGTTAACGGATATTAGCGGATAATACCAGCATCCAACAAGGATATCAGATCCTAGGATATAAATAAATATAATCAGATGTTAACGGATATTAGTGGATAATACCAGCCTCCAACAAGGATATCGGATCCTAGCCTATAAATAAATATAATCTGATATTAACGGATATTAGCGGATAATACCAGCATCCAACAAGGATATCAGATCCTAGGATATAAATAAATATAATCTGATGTTAACAGATATTAGTGGATAATACCAGCCTCCAACAAGGATATCAGATCCTAGGATATAAATAAATATAATCTGATGTTAACGGATTTTAGTGGATAATACCAGCCTCCAACAAGGATATCAGATCCTAGGATATAAATAAATATAATGTGATGTTAACGGATATTAGTGGATAATACCAGCCTCCAACAAGAATATCAGATCCTAGCATATAAATAAATATATTCTGATGTTAACGGATATTAGTGGATAATACCAGCATCCAACAAGGATATCAGATCCTAGGATATGAATAAATATAGGGTCATTCCACGTCAAGTCAGCCACCTGATGGACGGCATGTCACATATTTTGCTGAAATTTTGCATACAATTTGTAATATGAAAAAAAATCCCGGAACCGAAAGATGAGCGTTCTATGACCAACGAGGCCAGAGATATGGCTCTGGAAAGTTTCCGATATTTCGAGGACGGCCTCTTTATTTCAAATGGCTCTAACTTTTTAGTTTTTGAAACAATTTTTTTTCCAGTTTTGAATAGGTCACAAGCCCGTTATTTGGCGTTAAAAGAAAAAATATCATTAAAATATTATTTGCAGGTCATTATTACATTTTTTATTTTCAGTCTCCGTTTGAGGATGTGTACCAATTCCGATTGTGTTGATTTTTTTTATATATTGTTATACTGTCAAAAGGAAGAGGTTAGAAAAGTTTTTTATGTGTATTGTTCCTGTTAAGGAGGAGACCTGATATTGAAATGCTAATTTGGATTTCTCAACACACAGACTAGATAAGAAATGTAAAAAGAAACAGAACGAATTTCTGATTTGAATTGACAATATGAACCTAAAGCAAAACTCTACCTCAGGAACATAATCTCCTTGAGAATCATCTCCATCCTCCTCCCCCTCCTCATCCCTGCTCAATAGGTTGTTTACGGCCAGGTTCACGTCCAGGTTGGTTCTCTGCAACTCACGGATAATCAGGTTCCGAGACCGGCCCTGGTAGAAAATAAAGGGAATGTTATCGAATTCTGAAATGGTTGAAAGTTAACTTTTCAATTCCCATTTGAAGATTTGAGAAAATCATTCAGAATGGATCAAGAAATGCTGTTATCTACCTGTAGAACACTTAAATCTCATTATTTACCTGTAAAACACTGAAATCCCTTTATCTACATGTAAATAACTGAAATCTCTTTAAATACCTGTAAAACTCTAAAATCCCTTTCTACCTGTAAAACACTTTGAGCTTGTGTGATGAGATCCTCTGGAACGTATGGAGTTGGTCTAGAACTGGGCAGAATAATACCTCGTCCTCCTTAATAAAAAATATTTATAATTGGAAAATTAAACAACTGAATGTTATTTTTGAGAAAAAATGAATTCCCATTTAACACTAAAGAGGATCGCTAATCATCATCAGAATCTAAAAAAAGCTGATCGATAAAGAGATTGTATAAATTGATCCCTTATTTTAAAGTTAACATTTTTTATTGAGGTTCATTTAAATTAGATTGGGACCCGGATACTGGATACAATTTTGACCCGGATACTGGATACAATATTGATCCGGATACTGGATACAATATTGATCCGGATACCGGATACAATATTGATCCGGATACTGGATACAATATTGACCCGGATACTGGATACAATATTGACCTGTATACTGGATACAAAATTGACCCGGAGCTCCCGTTATGCTGAGATCGGCAATTGCTTTTTACAAACATAAGGACCCCCACCCCCTCGCACCGGGACCAGAGACTTACCATAGCCAAGTATCGCTGTATGGATATCTCATTATTTTTATTTATGTCAAGCTACGAAACGTAATTGTCCCAAACTAAAGTATATTTAGTTTAAACAAAAAAATCGAGATTTTATGAATAAAAATAGGGTCTAAAGTAAGGGTTCAGTGACTTTTAAAGGGAGTGACCAGATATGTATGGTAGTTGAACTGGTAATGTAGTATTGTGGAGAAATTTTTTAGGATTCATTTCAGACATATAAAACTTTAAATGATGGATAATTACTGAGTTTGAGCGCAAAAACGACGTTCAAAATAGTCCATTTGGGTGGTTACGTTTTGAGAATGAAAATAAAAATAATCATTAAATAACAACGAGAAAAATTTTATCTGCAGAAAATGTTTGTGAACAATGAGACAAATTACAGAAACCAATAACAGAAGATTACTTATTTTCGATGATAATAGTTAATCATGGGTATATATTTTTCTGTTTGGGGAATATGAACTGGCATAAGGGTTGGGGAAAAAATGAAGAAAAAAGGAAAAAGGGGGAAGGGGAAAAGGGAAGAGAAAAGGGAAAAAAAAGGGGGAAGAGGGAAGGGAAAAGGAAGAAGAGTGAAGGGAAAAGGAAGAAGAGTGAAGGGAAAAGAGGAAGAGAGAAGGGAAAAGGGGGAAGAGTGAAGGGAAAAGGAAGAAGAGTGAAGGGAAAAGGATTAAGAGTGAAGGGAAAAGAAAGAAGAGTGAAGGGGAAAAAGGAAGAGTGAAGGGAAAAGAGGAAGAGTGAAGGGAAGGGGGAATAGATGATTTGCATCTTCACAACAAATTTCTTTTTACAAAAACCAGTGTCAGAAATGCTTAAAAAAATCTTGAGAGACCATGAAGTTGACCTTTTTAGGGCCACGTTTTGCTCCATCATATACTAAAATTCCAAAAAAAATCTTTTCATGAGGATTTTAAAGATTTAATTTGCGCTCTTGCTGAACAAATATGCACTGTAAAAACGTCTAATAGGTCTCAAATCATTCCTAAAATATGTCTCCACAAACTACGTTCTCAGTTGAACTACCATACATTGCCGGTAACTCCCTTTAAAGACCTATAAATTACCATGGTATAGTTTGTCTTGTGAAGTGTGAAAACTTATCCAAATAAATATTCTATAAATATTACATATTTTATAAATAATTCTTCAATGTATTTCTTCAGGAAATGTACTTGCCTCGTATGGCTGTCTGTCGTCTACGTGGCACTGGTACAGCACTGGTTCTACAACTAGCCCTGGTTCGGATAGATGCTCCGGTAGCTCCACCTCCTCCCCCTCCTCCACCTCCAGGTTTAGAGGAACTACTCTTCGACTTGGATAAATCCAATCTGCAATTAACAAACTTTCGTTTTTTCAGGGCTCCAAACTTTTATTTAGGGATTAAAACATTTTTTTAGTTTCAGATTTGCCATAAGAGACAAGTGTTATAAGTTTATATCTCTCTTTGGTAAAAGCTTCGAAATATGGTCAAGAAGATATTTATAGTTAATCAACCTACCAGACAATTTTAAGAATTACTTGCTAAAATGCTAAAATTGAGCGGAAAACAGAAATTTTACCAACATTTCATTTTAATTCTCGCTCCTTAAATTTTTTAAATCTTAATAATGCAGTAAACAGTCAATTGGTTTTTCATTAAATACTGCAGAAAAATTATGAAACTGAGAACAAATAGAAATAGAAGGATAAAGATAAAACTAAGCTCAAAAACAGAAACAAAAGAGGCAAAAAAAAACTAAAATCAAATTTCGGGGCCCAGATTTAATCCAGTCATTTTAGGTGTTTCATCCAATTGAACAATGAAGAGGGGTGTCTGAAATAACTGAGAAGGGAAGTCGAGCCAATCTCCCATCCTTGAGAAGGATTGCTATATGAGAAGGTCCAACTGCAATCTCCTTTACTTCTCCTCTTACACCTCGCAGGGCATTTTCCTCAGCTGCAAAAGTAGATTTTAAAATATTTAAATAAACACATTCTGTAGAACTCTTTTCCTACGATGAGAAGCCGAATATGTTTTTGTAATTATGCCCAAAGCTGAGAACTCTTGTATTGTGGATATCGAGATCGATACCTGATCTTGATTTTTTGTTATTCCGCAGATAAATTTAATCTTTATTCGATGTCTAGCATGCTAATCGTACCCAGTCAGGGGTTAAAGGTAGCTTTGATCAAGGGAGGAAAAACTAAAATGAAGATATGTTATTGGAAAGGTATAGTTTTCTATAAATCCTCAAAATCAAAGTGCCCACAATGGATATCGAGCTCAAGTATCCACCACAAAAGTTCCCACCTAAGGACGGAGAAACATCATTTATAGTTTTATTGTGAGAAAATCAGTAAATTAGTGAGAAAATAATATTTTAAGATGTATCTAAGTATTTTTCTCCACTTTCCGTCACTAACTATTTCCCTTGGTTTATCATAAAATATAACCAACATTAGTAGTTTCTACCTTGCTCGTTCTTGTTGTTGATCTTGTTTGCCAACTCCTTTAACTTCTCCTGCAACTGCTCCTGTGTCCCCGGCAGCGGGTGAACCAGGAACTCAATATTGGGTAAATCCCGGGCGCGTCGCATCCTAAGTTTAATTCATATTATGGACGTTGGCCACTTTCCATTCATAATTATTCACCCTTTACTAAATTATCGTTCTCTAGGACGGACCCAATTATCGAACAATTAGGTCCGTCCAAGTATATGATTTTTGGACCCCGGGTCTGTCCTTGAGAATTTAAAGTAAAACAAAAGTTTTCACCTGAGGTTGTGTTCAAGTTTTAACTGTCAACATCGATTTATCGCTCTCTGAAAATTAGTGATCAAAAATCGCCTTCAATAGCTAGGAATGGTAAAATTAACAAGATCATGACAAAATATTCTTCAAGAAACGATCATGAAGATGTCCAAATCCTAAGAGCTGTGGCCATGGCAGTGCCCTTACGTTTTAGGAGACAAAATGAGAGTGTTCCAGAATGTTTTTTTTTCCAGACATTTCTTAAACGAAATTTAATAACAGCGGTCTCGCCGCTGTTGAACGGATTAAATTTTCAAATTTTTTTTTGCATTAATTATGGCACTTTGAAGTAGTCTCTGTAAATTCCGTTGACAGTTCCAATTAGCATTAACAATTCAGAGATGATTAACATTAAATAAATAAAATGCGTTCTTCATATTTAAATAAACTTGGACTCGGCCTATTCTCTCACATTACATCGAACAATTACGCCATGCATTGAAAATTTCATCTAAAACGTTTTGAATCTACAGCAATTTCAAAGCGAAACTTAATTTAAAAAACAGTTCCGATGTGCCTTTCATGGGTGATATAAAGTTCTACAAGATAATTAATAATTTAAAGAACCCCGATTTAACTCTGCATGGGTGAAACATCTTTCGCAACTTCAGCAGCTGGAGTTAGACGGGTTGTGCTTGATCCTGTTTGGTTTGGTGGATTTTACGCACCTTTAGAAAGAAGACGACATTTATAAAAACCGAATCTTTTTTCAATAATAGAATTCATTTATAATCGATTTTTATGTTTTATGAGAAGCAACACATTCCTTAGCTTCGTTTTCTTCTGCAGAATTTAGGGATAGGGGGGAGGCAATAGTCTTTTTGCCCCACTTGAGCGTCTATACAAAATTTAAATTAAAATGAGCTTGCCCACATCCATGCATATACACTATGATGTACGGTTTCTGATGGTGTACTTTTGGACCTACGCCCATCCCCTCTACTGCCCATCCGACCTACAAGCACATGCTTTTAACATCTGTTGTAGGTCCGATGCACTGTAGGTCGGATGGGCACGTTAAAAACAGCATATTGCAGTGTAGGTCGGATGGGCACTTTTCGTAGGTCGAATCTGGGCATTTTTCGTAGGTCGGCCAAAACGTGGCCGCAGCGCTCGGCCCCCCAGCCTGTCCTAGCCGCAGCGCTCGGCCCAATGAGCTTAACCTAATTCCTAACCCTATACACTAATTTTATTAAAAACTGTTGAATTAAAGGTCTTTCATGGCCGCAGCGCTCAGCTCCCTAGCCAGTCCTAGCCGCAGATCGCTCGGCCCAGAAATGATTAACCTATATCATAACTATTTTATTAGAAATTGTTAAAATTATAGGTCTTTCATGGCCGCAGCGCTCGTCCCCCCTACAAAAAGTTCCCATCCGACCATACAAAATATGCACCATCCAACCTACAAAATATGCCCATCCGACCTTATACGAAAAATCCCCATCCGTCCTACAAAAAGTGCTCATCCGACCTACGAAAAATGCCCATCCGACCTACAAAAATCCCCCCCCCTTTACCATAGTCCCTATCATTCAACGAGATCATTGGATTTTTAACAATTGCCCTTGACGAAACAATATGGATTCGAAAATTCTTTCTTAGGTGACTGGCACAATCGTGGGACAGCCTGTATCATAACATATGGCCGGTTATATGGGGTACGTCGCCTCTCAATGGATGTTTGTGACCATCAATTTAAGAAAGAACGTGCCCTATTCACAAGACACCCTATAAACCTTTATCTGAGCAAAATGATGAAATTATCTTTGTTTTTCTATCTGAAAATTTAACACTTTCAATTGCTTTTTGCAGGGGCAAAGACCGGATCTCTGAACAAGACCAACCATGAATATAAAGGAGGGGGACACTTGAACCCTACCACAATTTTATAGTGGAAGTTCTGTTATATGCAATTCGATCGAAACTCTACAGGAATACAGGGTTACCCACAAAGGATGAGACTGTAACAACGACTGGAAACTCTCAAAATAGAACGATTTCTAGGTTGAATTAAATCTTCTGCCTTGAATTTAGTCTTTTAAGAACTTATTTAATGCTTTGGCAAAGAGTGAAACCTGTTTACAATATGGCAGAGAGTTATGTATGACGTGTATAAACAATTCGTACAGTCGTCTCTGAAGTCTCATCCTTTGTGGATAATCCTGTAGTTTACAAGGACTGTAAGCGTAGTTTCAAGTCAGTTTCCATGCAAACATGGCAATGCCCGATTCATAAAATATACGTGGGAAAAATTGTTGTTTTCTATGTTTAAATTAGTAAAACAAGAATTGAAAATAATCAGTTTTAAGTTTTTAAAATTATAAAATTATTTATCATCATATCTAGTTCATATACCTGATCATAAAAAAAAACTTTTAACCCTATCCCTGCTGGGATACTTGAAAACCAGGATACGCTGGGGGGGGGGCAATTTGACCCCCCCCCCCCC